ATCAGATCTCTTTGTCTCTTGGAAGCAAGCAAACTCAATTTTTCTGTCTTTAAGAATGCTTCTGACCTTCCTCCTCTTTTCGACTTTGCCCAAACCCCTTACATTCCATGATAATAACTTCATTAACATAAAAGCTTAACACCTTATACCTCCAAATTGAAGCACATCAGCTTTGTGCTTCTGTAACCCTAGGTGCTGCCCTCTCTTTATCTTTGGCTTCCATCTCTTTTAATTTGATGATTACCTCATCTTCCTTATCTTCGAAACAGATGCCAAGAGCTTTACCTATGCGAATTGTTGCCTCAGCCTCTTCATGCAAGACCTTGTCAACCCTCGTAGTACTCCCGTTTGATCCTGATTTTGCTGTTGACCCTTGGGGCACCGATCTTGCTGACAACCCCAATTTTGCCCTAAGCGCAGCCCCTCTGCTCCAACTTCCCATAACCACTGCTCCACCCATCCTCTCCCGTCTTCCTCCGCTACCTTTCCTCTATAGTTCCTTCGAATTTCTACTAGCAATTGAAGTCCCCCTCCTTCTCACCAACTTTTTCCTCTGCTTCACCTCACCAATTTTTGGCACGAGTTATCATTGCTATTCAAAGTCCTGAAACATGTAAATTAAGGGTAAGATTAGTATTACTTCAATGAGATGAAAAATGATCAATCTAATAAATAACAAATATTATACAATGTTTACTTTGGTTTTTTTCTTTAACCCTCCTTTTTAAGCTCAAGAAAGAAATGCAAAAATCTAATCTTCAAAATTGTTTTGAAAAAGATCAATATATATATATAGTAATTTGTGTCAGATGTTACTCTCACAGACGAGATGTCCAAAAGGAACTTAAGACTCGTAGTCGATCATAGTACTCACCAATTACCAAAAAATACTGTGCTATTTGTCGAACTGCCAATATTCAACGCAGTTGATGAAGAGTTACTGTCTTAATATATCTACCTATAATTTGACATTATCAAAAAAGTGAATTAATGTTCAAACAAATTACTAATCTCTAAATAAATAGAAAAGGACAAAAAAAAATATTCAACTATATATAAACATCAAATCACAACTATCACAGGCAGGTTGAGATGGGGTGCAAGTGCAAGGACACCAGGGTTACAAACTCTAAACAAAATTTCAAATGGGTTGAAACTAGAAACTATTAAACTTGTCTTATCTTTGAGATTGGACTAGTCCAAACAATCTGTAAAATTCACAAGTCGATCCAGTTCAATCTAATTCGGTAAGTTTGGACTAATTTTTTTAATTTATGGTTTGGTTTTAGATCAAAAAATTGAAAAATCGTGTTTCGCAGATCGGTTTCAAACTACACTTAACGGTTCTGGATTGGAATCGATTCAGACTGCATGCAACTTAGACTATATTTATATCATACACTCCTGATACATACTATCATACATCTTGTACTATCATACCTTTTATATTCATATCATATACTTGTGGAATTTGGTGTGAAATTTGTAGCTATAAAGCTACTGTTATGAAATTTCGTTGCTATTGTTGTTGCTTTTTTTTTTTAGTTTTAGTTTCGTAATGGTCTAATGGTGGAATCAATTTTATTTTTATTTTTATTTTTTTGGAATTTGGTGATTGTTATTGTTATTGTGGAACTAGATATTATGTTTGTTTAAATTAATGGTAGAACAATATGCATATTTATGTTTTGGAAAATTATGAAATGAAAATATTATATGATTTTTCTTTGTTAATAGATTATGTGAATCCGTGGTTTCAAACCGAACCGAACCGTATTTAAATGGTTTGGTTCGGATTGGTTCCAAAATTTAAATGAATCGGATTGGTTCCAATTGTTATGGAATTGTAGACAATGGATTGGTCTTGGTTTTATCTCAAACCGAACCAATCCGGACAATGTTCTTCCCTACCTGGGAGTGTACTCCCTTCTAGTCTCAAGCTCAACTCCCACTAAATACTATTAACTCCTTGAAGCGAAACTCATGGGCTTTGTCTAATCCACGTGGAGGGAGCACTTTTTATGAGTCTCGAGATTAATTGAAATGTACGTAAACTGATCCAAACAACCGGTCATCAAGAATTTTTTTTGGAGGTATCTAGTTTGATCAATAGGGAATAAAAGAAAATAAATGATATAATTTCCAAATTATACATGCTATCCATATATTTGAAGTTAATAAATATGAAGAAATAATATCATTATAATTATCAGATCAATTTAAGTAATTTGTTTTATTAAAGGGAGAGAATTGATCCGATTTGTTAAAATAATCAATCTTCACAAACACTTCACATAGGAAAAGAAAATATTTGAGAATTTCAAAAAGTACTCATAATTTTATCAACAATAATATAATAAGATATGTATTAATTTTTAATTTCTTACATATTTAATTATGATGAATCTCTCATGTCACATCAATAGAAGTAAATTTACAAATATAAATATATGAGTCTCTAATATTACTCCTTCATATAAATAAATGAAAATCAACAATTTTAATTTTCTCTCTCCCTCCTCCTTTTATGTCTCCACTTTATTTTGCAAAGATGTTTTTGAACATGACAAATAAAAATTCAAGTTACATTTGGTAGAGTTTTGGAATTATGATTTGAGAATAGAGTAGTATTTTGAGTTTGTGAGTTTTGGAACTATGAATTGAGTGTGAAAATTTTATTTGGTTATGCGTTTTAAAAAGAGTTTTGATTGAATTTCAATTGAGTGATGTGGCATATGATATTTGATTCAAAAATTTACAACTCATAACCAAATACACAACCCAAAATATAAAAATAACAGGTGTCAAAAAAAATACGAACACTGTTCCGGTTAACTGGCTGGACATCCGGGGGATGTTCAGGTAGACTCAAAATTAAAAAATCCTCTACTTTTCAGAATGGAGAACACGAAAAAAAGAGAGAGTAGCCAAACAGGAAAGAGAAATATGTTTTAAAATGTGTGATGGAATCACAATTCTAAAACTCCATCAAAAAAATGTTAGACAATCTTCACTATATTCAAAGAATGGATTAAAGAAAGGAAAGAGACTGTTTGATTACAAAAATCCAACCAGTGTATAAAAATATATAAATAAAAATAGATTTTTATTTTGTTATAATATCAAAATCAAAATCAAAATCTGGAACATGAAAAATAATTAAACAGAAAAGTAATCAAGGTACTTACCTTATTATTTTCTCGAACAAATTTTTGATCAAGTCCAGTGTTTAACACTGTGTCTTTAAAACAGATTCGTCATCTCCACGGTACTTTCAGATAGCGGACGTCTATCTCCTATGATAAAATGATCAACAACAAACAATAACAGCACTACAAATTATTTGTACTACAAATACACTTTGTGTTTATACACTTTCTTACAGAAAAATTAATGCAACAAAATGCAGAGAACAATAGCAGGAAAGAAGAACAAAAATTAGAATGCCAAATCCAAATGAGAGACTGCCTATTTATAGATGGAAAAGTAGTTGTTCAGATTTGAATGAACAGGTAGCAAACCTGTTTAAATAGGTACAAGACCTGCTCGATTTGAATGAACAGGTAAGGCATTGTTTGGGTTTGAATTTGAATAGATACTGAATCTGTTCGGTTTAAATTCAAACAAATAAAAACCTGTTTGGTGGAGGAAAAAACTGAGTAGAATTTTGGAATTAATTTCAAATTTTAAATTCTGAAAAAATGTAAGAATTTTAATAAAATTCAAATAGTTTTTGCGTGCGCTTGTGTGTTTATTTTTGGGTCCAATGTGTCTAACCCACTTTGTTCACAATCTCTCCCTTCTACAAACTTGGGGTGCCCCTTGGGGCCTTTTCCATGTTGCAAACTCAAGTCTTATAAACCTATAAAAGTTTTCTCACCAAACCAATGTGGGACAAGCCTTTAATTCAAACCTTTAAGGAATTTCTACCAAAAATTTCATTTCCATGAAGCTCACTTTGGCTTCAATTTTCTATTCACCCGATAATGGTTTTGAGCAACCAGATATACTATGTGAATCACAACGCGGTATAGAACACGTTACCACTTAGACCCGCCAATTTTGGCGCATGGATTCCACCTAAAAATTAGACCAAGGTTGAGGAAAAATCTGATTTTTTCAAAACCATTTCTAACAAAAAAAATGCATACAAATAGAGGGATGGAATTAAGTTTTCAAAGCTGCACCAAACACATTCTTTCTCTACCGTTATTTATATGATTATGTTATTCAAAACTCATTAGAAAGAAATAATATTCTCAACCTATATTTATATATGGTAAATTGCGACAGTAGTCTTCATACTTTAATTCTTGTATCATTTTAGTTATTGTAATTTTAATTGATTCAATTTTGACATTTAATTTGTCATTTTGTTTTGATTTTGTTCAATTGATTACAATTCATAACATTTTTTATGAAAATATGTATATAAGTGGCATATATCATTTTTTAGAGTAAAATTATAAATTTACTAACATCGGTGAGTTAACCTCAATTAATTCAGTAATTATTTTGAGTCGAAAATACTAACGACATTATCAATTGGACTAAATTGACACAAAATTTAAAATTAAGGGTCAAAATTGTGCCAATTAAAAGGGTATAGACTAAAATGACATAATGTGTAAAATGTAAGGACCACTAGTGTAATTTGTCCTTACATGTATACTAGGAGTGTGAGTCTACTCGATGAATGTGTTTAAAATATAAATTTTAATTTTAAATTCATAACATATTTTCTATGTTGTTTAAGTGATATTATTTAATAAATTAAGTGAATGGCCTTAGATTTAAATCTTGCGCCTCTCTTTTAATTACTATTTTTTATTTTTTTATTTTTGATAAAAAAAATTAACACTTGACCCAAAAAGAGAAGGCCACTTGACAAAAAGAGATAAGAAAATTTATGAATACCAAGTAAAGTCTTCACTTTTAATAATAGAATAAATATGTATATATCACATTTTTTCATTGTTTTCTTCCTTTTTCTACTCAAGTAGAACCTTCCTCATCCACATGAAATTGATTTAAATTTACAAGGTGACATAATATTAATATGAAAATATTAAAAATCTAAAAGCAAAAAACAAAAGTTTAATTAGAAAATTAAAAGAAAAAATCCTCTCTCTCCTCTAAGTACTTTGAATAAATGTAATGCCACCACATAAGCTATAGGGGAATGCATGGTCATCTTCTTGGTTTTCTTCATCGCTTTTTGGCTATATATATATATATATATATATCATGATTTGGATCAAATGTTCGCGAAGTGGTTTTGTGAAGATTGCATCATTTGCAAATCCGTGCTTGTTTGGCACGAGTTATCATCGCTAATCAAAGTCCTGAAACATGTAAATTAAGGGTAAGATTAGTATTACTTCAATGAGATGAAACTAAAAATGATCAATCTAATAAACAACATATAGTATACAATGTTTACTGTGGTTTTTTCTTTAACCCTCTTTTTTAGGCTCAAGAAAGAAATGCAAAAATCTAATCTTCAAAATTGTTTCGAAAAAGATCAATATATATATAGTAATTTGTGTAAGATCTTACTCTCGTGGACGAGATGTCCAAAGGGAACTTAAAGCTCGTAGTCGACCATAGTACTCGCCAATTACCAAAAAACACCGTACTGCTTGTCGAACTGTTAATATTCGGCGCAGTTGATGAAGAGTTTGTTGTCTTAATATATCTGCCTACAATTTAGCATTATCAAAAAAGTGAATTAATGTTCAAACAAATTACTAACATCTAAATAAATAGGAACGGAGAAAAAATATTCAATTATATATAAACATCAAATCAAAACTATCACAAACAAGTTGAGATGGGGTCCAACTGCAAGGACACAAGGGTTACAAACTCTAAACAAAATGTCAAATGGGTTGAAACTAGAAACTATTAAACTTGTCTTATCTTTGAGATTGGACCAGTCCAAACAAAACTTTAAAAAAATATTATCTTTTGTTCGATTCTTCATATAATATAGCCCCAAATTATTTTGAAAACTTTGGTGATAGGTCTAGCAAGGGTTTTTATTTCGCTAGGTGTTGCTTTCAAACCAACTTTTGACGGAAACAATTTAGATGCAAAAACTACATCAAACAAACACTAACATTCAACAATGTAAAATTTTGAATTCTTAATAGCAAAGCAAAGTATATTCACCACAAAATCATTAAAGATAATAAAATTACAATAAGCCAATCAAGTAGGATGAGATTGATCCATCATACACGTGGCAAACATTGAGTAGAAAAGATGCATGGATTGGTTGTATAAAAAAAATAAATAAATAAATAAAAAAATTACATTATCCCATCCCTTAAAAGTTGACCTAAAATGGATAGTGACTGTTTTATTGGTAGAATTTTATGGTCAAATGAGATTTTTGTGATCATCATGAAGGTGGGAAATCATCGGATGGTCAGAACTGGCTTAGAAATAGTTGACTAGATGATAATTTCTTGTGTGTATATAATAACTTAATGTAAAAAGTCTAAAATTTTAAATCAAGCTTTTATAATGATACTCTTACGCATCATATGTGTTAGAATTGTAGCGCAAACAAAGGAATGAAACACTGAACTAAGCAATTTTTGTACCAAATTCTTAATTAGACCAGTCTTTATTGTGGTAAACTTCCCCTAATGACAATATAAGCAAATCATAATACAAAAAGGAATTTTCTAAAAAAAATCCTAGCCATTAAGTCTAGATTAAGGACAAAATCCATCCGTTATTGACAATGAGTAAAATCGGATGTAAAAAAACAAGGTGATTTTTGTGATATACTTATATCACATAATGTGAGCTTACTGACTAAGAATTAATTCTACTCACTTTATAATATGATAAAAAAAGAAAAAAGAAAAAAAGATCTACTTATCCTTGGAACTGATTTTACTTCCTAGTTTTTTTGGTGCACTGTAGTTGGACCCCAAGTTACGTGGGTTCTATCTCTATATTTGGACTATGAATTGTGTATGTGATTTCAATGGGACCCAAAATGTAAAGAGCTTTGCTTAGTGACACCCTTTATATGTCATTCTTACTCTCTTATTTTAACTTTCAAATCAGTTTTCATACCATGCCATTTTTTTCATAAAGCAATACCAAAAGTAATTGCTTGAGAAGGAAGTATTCCCACTAAAGACATAAATAGGTCCTTAATCATCGTATCAACTTTACTACGGATATAAAAATAAATAAAAAAAAGTCACATAATAAACATCGAGAGAACGTGGGGTTCATACCCACTTTCATGTCTATTCTATGACTCTTTTAAGACATTTATTCGTGTGTCCTAGATTTGCTCATACTTTAATTACAAAGCCACTCTACAAAAGATTGAATCATGTCAATTTTCAATACACCACTAAAGTCCAGTATTAGAAAACCTGTTTGTCGAATTATTTTATTTTAAAAAATGTAATATAGGTGTTTTTAAGCTTCTTACTGTTATTTACTAGGGTGAACATGAAAAATGGAAGCGGAAAATAAAAATGAAAACAAAGAAAACGAAAACACAACCGAGTTACCTGGTGAACAAAGCCTTCAAGATTGGTGAGCTTGCCGAGAGCAACAGCCATATGATGCATGCCATCGTTGAGAGAGACACCCGCAACAGTGTCGATGAGAGACTGTTGAAGCTGTTCTAATCCCTGAGTAAGAGCCTCCTCTGCCTGTTGTGATGAATGTTGGAGGCTGTATATCCCCATGAATTGCTGCTCTGTTAATGGGTCTAATTGGGTTATTAACATCTGTCCAATATCAACAACAAGAAGCTCAGGATCAGTTAATATTCAAGATACATGTCGGTTAATTTTCGTTACCTTCTTTTTTATATCAGTCTTAACTAGATAACCCCGAAAATTAAAATTCAATACATTTTAAATTTTTAAATAAAGTACATTGAAAATGAGAATGAGCCAACTTTTTAAGGGTTTTTTTTTTCCCACAAAAATTTGTTTCTTTTTGAACTTTTTCTTTTTTTTTTTGAATTTTCAGGATCATTTAGTGGAGAGTTCAGGCTGGGGAAGGTGGTCGCTGTAATTTTCAGTGAATGGGTTGTTTGGTGACACAGAAAACATCAATAGAATTTTTGAGTGGTTGGTAAGTGGTTAAATCATGAAAAGGAAATGCAAAAATGTTACTGCTACTGGAATTTTCTATCACTCATGAAAAGCACCCTTTCCAGGTTTCAGGGGTTTTTTTTTTTGTTTTTTTCCTCTTTCTCATATTTGAAATGAGAAACTTATGTTGTGTTTAGTTGGAGAATTTGGGGAGGGATTTAGAAATGAAAAAGAAAAAAGTATGTGAAATTAGATGAAATATAAGTATATTTTATTCTCATTTCACCTACCTTTTTCTCTTTCTCTTTCCAAATCTTCTAACCAAACACAGTATTAAGAATCCTGAAAAATGAAATTCCTAGAATGACCATTTTTTTCTTTCTTTCATTCTTTTTGGGGGCAAACAAGTGTTCAAAGTGGATTAAGCATTGAAATGCCCATATTATCCCTAAAACTTTTACAGATTCACAGTACCACTTAGATACCAATTAATGACAAGTGATGTGATAGAATCGACCCAAGGACTTTTGAGGCCTGAGAGCAAAATATCAAAATGAGGTTTATCTTACTTGTCCTTTAAACAATTGTCACCTTTGGCAATAAGAAAGTTTTTGGCAAGCCTAAACTAAAAGATTAAGCCGCCTCTTAATAGTAAAGTGAGATTTACAGTATAACCGTATAAGTGACATATTTTAAGGAAAAAATAGATTAAATCTTTCAAACCTTGATGAGCTCTGAGGGCCGAAAACCGCCCATCCAGAGGAAGCAACGCTCGGCCGGAGTAGTCCACATTCCGGTGATGAGGTGGAACACATCAGTTTTGGCAGCCACTCCCTTGAGGCAGAAAATTTCATCATAATGAGCAATGTATCCATCTACTATCAACGTAAGATCGCTATCCGATAAATGCGCTTGCAACCCTGACCGGAGCTCCGACATGTGCCTGTGATCATCATCTAACCATCTTGCATATTCCATATCAAACATCGCCGCACCTACAACAACAATAACAAGAACAGTGTTAATGTCACGCACCAAAATGTTTTTGTGTTATATGATATTTAGATCTTTTTACACGTGTGTAGATCCTACATAAAAAATTATGCCCGCATTACCATCACAATTATTTCATAGTCGTGTAAAAATGCCAGTACTTGCTATCGTGAGACGATTGGGACCGGAGACATATGAAAATCTAGACGGAACGAGAAAGAAGTGTGCAACATCAAATTTCCGTATATCAAAAATTTTCACAGAATAAGACACAAATATGAGATAAAAGGTATGATCTGCCATTTATCTTGTATTTAGGAAACTCCTCGTGTTCATAGTATAATTGATAACAAAAACAAGGACAACAAATTATTTTTAATGTTTATAAAAGTCAGAGAGAAATTTCCCCAAGCAGGGCCACATTTATGATATGGATGGTCTATAGATAAATTAATGTTTGCATCGAGCAAGACTTAATAGCAAGACTTAATGGAGCTTGAATTTTTACTATTCAATGAATATAAGATTATGACCTTGTCAATTTTGCTTGCTTTTAAATAATAAAAATACATCCAGAGGAATTAAGAATGTTATTTTTATTTATTTATTTTCAAAATGTCAAATATTTAAGCCGGTGATTTGAGATTTGATGGAGACTAATTTTTGTTACGTACAATAGTAGTCTGATTTTTTTTATAATTCTTCTCAGAACTAGAGATTATGATAATTGCAGCATATATCTTTTCCTTTACTTTTTTCATTTTATTTTTTTTTTAAACAAAATGTAGTCAAATTCAGATTTTTTTTGATGAACAAATTAGATTTGATAAGCTATTGATCTTTGCATATTGAATAGGATACCGTCCTAAAAATGGCAGAAAATATTATCACATTTGAATTTCTTCTTTATCTTTTTTTCTTTTTTTATAATTTTATTCATCTACTTACAACTTGTCATTATCAATAAAATTATTTTAATAAGTGCCCATGTATTAAAAACTAGATAAACAAACAAATAGCATGGGGGTCCTATTAAAAAAAAGAGTGGGCTATTATCAGCTGGGCCCCTGAATCATTTTCAATCCTGAGTGTACCAATTAAAGTCCGCCACCTCACCTCCTAAAGTAAATAATAATAAGTTATAAATAATTCTACACATATTAATAATCTTATTAAAAATATTTCTAAAAATACAAATAACCAAATGTGATTAGTTGTAAAAAAAGAAAAAAAATATCTAAACCTCTAATGATATTTGAATATAAATACTTTTAGTAGAATTATTAGTAAGATTTTAAATAAATGTAGTAATGCTCATAATTTATGTTGCTCATAATTTATACACATCAACTACTTTACTGCATACATTTTTACATAAATATAATAATTTTTTCTCCAACTAATCTAAATATTATGTAATCTAATATTACAATGTAAAATTGATAATATTGTCACTTGATATTATTGTAATATAGACAATTTTTCTTGAGTCACTATAATTTATTTAGGCCAAGCCATTCATTTTTTACTTGTTTGTATATGTGTAGATTCAGTATAGTTTGTTTGGGCGTCATTTAACATGATTCGAACTCGTTTATTTTTACTTATATATATATATATATATATATATGGATAGATAGATTATTCATAAAATAAAAAAAATTAGATTCATTTGATAATTTTAATCATTTGAAAAAAAGAAAGAGGAAGAAAAAAATATTACAAAAATAGGTAAATTAAACAAAGGGGAAAAGGGAGGGAATTACCCCCAAAGAAAAAAAGGTTCTCTTCATCCTCACCCTCTGAATGCTTATTTTATTTCTAAGCTCCTCTTTCTATTACCATCCCAAAATCTTAGGACAAAGGTGGCATCTTTGTTGTTATGATCATTCTCTCCCTCTCATTTTCAGATTTTTTGTCTTCAAATCTCTTTTTTGCTATATTCATTTACATTGAATCATTATTAATTTATCAAAAAGAGAAAATTTTTAAAAATAAAAGATCTTATTTCAAAAGCGTGAAATCAATTGTTTTATCTTCAAATATTTCTATTTTGTTGTGTCAAATCATTCATATTGATTTGAATTATGTCTTGACTTTATAACTCCATTTTTGAGGCATAAAGTCAATCTAAAAAGTGTAGATCCCCACAACTTTTAACAAATTTGATAAAAGAATTTGAGTTCTTTTATATGATTTATGAATTGGAATGATTTTGTGATTGGAGTCTGATCTGAACTAAGAATCTTGGCAATGGGGTGGATTCAACTTGTTTCAATATAACAATGACTTCCTTTATTTCATTCCCCAAAACTGTAGTTTAAAGTTGTAGTGGTATATAGTTCCCCAAGACTGTAGTTTAAGTGCAGTAGTATATAGTTTCTTGATCTATCTTGGAATTCGAAACACAAATGTCCTATGAACCCCGAATCAAATGGCAGGTAATGATTGTGAACTTCACTCGAAATATATGCTTCCTCTGGTGCTCCCGCTTTTTAATCGCTACATTTTTTGTTTTAAAAACCTTGAAAAAAGGAACCTTTTTTGATAGAAGAAATACACAATGAGCATGGCATTTGGATTGTTTTGGTTATAAACAAAACTTTTCGGTAGTAATGATAGTTTTTAATAATGAAGAAAATGAATAAAAATTTAAAATTTTAATGTATTTTTAACATATTTTTTATACATTCTTCCATATATTTTCACACATTTTTTTTTTGGGTACATTAATCTTAATTATAATAATCCATTATGAAAGAAATATTAACCGTTTTTATTTACTCTCGAGTGTTTCAGAGGAAAGGACCTGGAGGTTCAACATCAGAGAGAGCACTTGATGCCAAGGTAGTGATATGAAAATAAAATAAAGTAGTTGATGAAGACCGAAAGCTTATTAGGTGAAAGTCTTTGATGCATTGGTTTTTACAGACACTGAGACGTTTGGCGCAGAACAGAGAAGCAGCAAGGAAGAGCCGAAATCAGAAAAAAGGTCAGTTTTCCTCCTGCAATACAAAAACTTTCCTTGGAAAATACGTGTCAATTTTTCCATCAACTTCTCTGCTAAGTTTTTTTTAAAATCTCACCGCACCGAACCGAACCGACTTATCTTTCTCTCTATCTGTATCTGTATATGTTTGTATGTATAGGCGTATGTGCAGCAGCTGGAGACAAGTAGGATAAAGCTTTCTCAGTTGGAGCAGGATCTTCAGCGAGCTCGAGCTCAGGTTCCTTCATTTTTGTTGAAACTCGTGATCATTAATACATATATATATATATATACTTTTGGCTGGTACACACAATAATTGTGCAACGTAAATAAATAATAAGTTAATTAATTAACATTATAATATATATGCATAATGTATTGTTTAAGCAATAAGAATTAATTTTTTTATTCAGTCTCGTACATTTTTTTTATATAAATTTTTTAAAATTGAGAAACAATAATTGAGTTAAAAAGTAAAAAATTTGATTTTTTAATTTTTTTAAATCATATTAACTTTTTATTTTTTTATATATTTTTAAAAAAAATCAAAAAAATCAAAAATTTAACTTTTAACTTAATTCTCAAACGGTAGGCACCTTCATCTTGATTTTATAAAGTAATATAGATTTATTATTTTATTGATGGTTACTGATATATTTAATTATTTGTTGGGGGTGGTGTTAATAACAGGGATTGTTTCTGGGAGGAGGTGGCGGTGCAGGTGGAAATATCAGTTCTGGTAACTCTCTCTCTCTCGTATGAAAGCGGTGGGGTGAAGCTCTATCTCCTGTTGAGCTTTTCAATTTTCTCGGCCCACCACAGCTGTCCTTTTTGCATATTTTTTTATTGGTTTGGGATAAGTCACCAAAAAAAAAAAATTAAAAATTTATTAAAAAAGCAAAAAAGTTATACTATTTTGGGAAAGTTTATGGAGAAGCTTAGAGGACGAAATTATTTATTCGCCCATTAAATTTTAATTATTCAAAAGTTAAAACTTAATAATGGTAAAACGGTCATTTTGATTTTACTATAATATTTTATTACAATTTTTTTTTTATAAAAAGTCAAAAAAATATTCTAAACAACATCTTTTTTTCTCTACTTTTTTAGCTAAAAATTTAAAAAATGCACTTGTATAACACATCAACCTACAAAGTCAAAAAAATTAATATACTAAAAAAAAAAAATCCATATTATTTGGAAAGCTTGTGGGGAGGGCAAAATTATTATTTTGCTCTTTGAATTCAATACCCAAAAGTCAACAATAGTAGAATGGTCATTTTAATTTTATTACAATATTTTATTACACTTTTTCATAAAAAGTTAAAAAATTATTCTAAATAGGGTATGGCTTCTGTCCAGTCCGGGATCGGACTGGACGTGTTGTTGGGCCCGTGAGAGCCCACCACGGGTTCGTTTTGATAATCTGAACGTTCAATGTGTAGAACTCGTCGAGTACTATAAGCCTATAAAAATCACTTATAACCTA